ACCATAAAATAATTATTACTTGCATTAAAGCCTAGAATAAAAAACCTCTTACTTATTATAAACAAATTATTATCTTTTTAATCAAACTTTAAGAACTCTCTTTTAAAGAAAAGACCAAATTTTGTCATTACTATTTCCTAAAAAACCAGATATATAACAACAAAAAGAATAACAACAACAAAAAGGAAAAGAAAAAAAACCTGATTATGATTCTAACCAAAAATATTAATAAGATCTACATCATCAAGAAGACCTAAACAAAAACCCAAACAGAAGCGTTATACTACTAATAACCTTGATTAGTTTCAAAATATCATATTATCCCAAAACTATAAAACAGTATACTAGATTTGATAATATACTTGCATATCAACCTTTTAACTTTATTAAACCCCATCTTATTGATGTATATCCTGATAAAATTGTAAAGCAAGCAACTGAAGACTCCAAAGAATTCAAATTAATATACGCTTATTTAACACTTAAATTATTGTTAAGAGAATTTACTAAAACTCTTACTAAACTTGATTACTCTAAGATTCTTACTTCCTATAACTCTGTCCACTATTCACTATTGCTAATCAAAATTTAGTTACATTAAACCTTGCAAGAATACATCTTATTCTTAATGAAAAATACCAAACTATTAATTATTATGAATTTTTAAATAGATGCACAGCCCTAATGGTTCGATAGTTTTGGATAAAATTTCACAAAGACTAGTATTATGTCTCTACAAACAAGTTATAGAGCTTTTTCCATAAATACAAGATTAAATTAAGTTCTTCATTCTTGCCATTCTTTTTTTAAAAAAAAAACACATAGCATATTAAAATAGTTTTTTCATATTTAAATAAAAGACAAAGGCTCTATAGCTTTGTTTGTAGAGTCATAATATTAGTCTTTGCGAAACTTTATCCAACACTATCGAACCGTAATTCGTAATAATTGTCGCGGCTGAAGCTGGAAATGGCTGAAGCTGGAAATCAGATAAGCTGATTTAAAAAAATACGTCCTACCAAAATCCACTTATACTCTTTTATTATTAAAACTAACCCTAAACCCTAACCTAACCCTAAAAAAAAACCCCTAACAAAAGGCCCTAAAATTTTTTAAAAATTTCATATTAAAATAATTAAAATTTCCAGCATCAGCCGTTTCCAGCATCAGCCGCGACAATAATTATTATAAATTTACTACCTATCGATCACTACAAAAAATTCATTAACAAATTTTATTATATGACCACATATCGTTTTGGTTTACATAGTATACTGCGCGCCCTAATGAAAAGTCCATTGTAAATGCTTCGATTAAGAAATGATTCTTATAATGAGTGCAGCCAAAGGAAATGGTACTTCGAAATTTCAATTATATTTTATATCGGACACAATAATTAATAAATTAGATAAATTGTGCCAAATACAAAATATAATTGATAGTCCTAAGTTTCATTTTCTCTTGGCAGCACTCATATATGTATATATATATATATATTTATAGATTTAGGTGAAGATTTGGTGATTCTTATACTATATATTAAATCTACGAGTATGAGAAAAATTAAGAAAAATAGTTTCTTTAAAGACTTCGTTTAAAAATGGTTGTATTTGCAAACTAAATTAACAGTGATAAAAGAAGTTGATGAGAGCAAATACTTTGAAAAAATAACTTACGTAATATATGATTGGAGATGCGGCCACAAATAGTCCGTGATCAGGAAAAGTGTGTTGAAAATCACTGATTGGTTACTTGCATAAGGTTTAATATAATGGATATTGAATAATTTTGGTTAACGCCTTTTTAGCTAATCTACAAAAATTCGTAGTTATTGTTATACGTGAGAAAACTGACATCTAAAATTAGTGTCATGAGAAAAAATGCGATTTGTACAAACATATGATTCAATCAAGTTTAAGATTTGGTCTCCGGCTTATTTTTCAATAAACCGTACTGGTTGTCGAAATTGGAAATATCTAATTCTACTATTTCGTGTAACAAATATTATACTATATACCGTTTTGGCTATTTATTCTTATTTGTGTTTCACGACAAAAACAGATATACTTGACATAACATTTTTTCCGAAATTGGAAATTGCTATAAAGGTAAATATTCAAATTTAGTAATTCTTAATTTGGGAAAGATTTTTCAAAAAATGCCTTAAATATGGATACTCGAAAACAAATTTCAAATAAAAATATATCTTTTCATATAAGCAATTTGATTTCAAAAATGATAAAAGAACAAAAACATGGATACTAAAACGCCTCATTCTGAAAACAATAACATTAATAGTAAAAATAACCCAGTGTCATTAACTTATGCTGATACATTTTCTGAAGAACCTTCCTCGTTTAAAAATTCACCACCTCCAAGCATTAAAAACGGAATAACATCTTGTTCGGGAATTGTTAATTCTAGAGAAATGTCTTTTACAGGAAGTGTTAGGTCCAGGTTTTCAAATAATAGTAGTTGTTCAGCTATAAATGACCGGGTGATTGATCTCGAAAATCGGGTTCAGAAGTTGGAAGACTTGTTAAAAGTTAAAGAAGAAGAGTTGAGCAAACAAGCTGAAATGATAGAACAATTGAAACAAATGTTGTTGGATAGCCAATTTAACAAACGGACAATAATACACAAAATTTGGGATCGTATAAAACGTAAAAAAAAAAAATAAATCACAGATATATATAACACATACTTTGTGCATTTTCACATAAATTGGAATGATCTTACGATCGCAAAAACTGTTTAGAAGATTTTTAATAGCATGTGACAGAATTTCTTTAGTTCATGTCTATAACAACAGCAAGTATTTAAATGGTAGATTACCATAACTTAGTTATGAAATTTATGTTGAACTGGTTTTTAATATAAACTGTAACTAATGACGACATGATCTGAAAATGTATATATATTTGCAAATACTCACAAGAATCTTAATGTAGTTTTAAGCTGTAATGAATAAAAGCATAAGTATGCGAACAAAAACTACTGTTTTATTATCATTTTAAAATTGAGTTGTTGAGATTTAACATTTAATATTATCTGGTTTAATAAAAATCTTTTTAAATTATTTTTTTTTTGGACAACTTGACCTTACTTTTGATCAAACGAACCTAATTATCTAGTATATTTTTAATTCAATAAGTCTTTATATTCCACGGTCCCTAATGATCGCAGTGAACATTTCTGATGATATTTTTATGATGACGTAATGCCGTGAAAATATTCCACGGGCATTACGTCATCATTAAAAATTTTAATCAGAAATGTTACGGGCATAGGAACCGTGAAATATATCAGTTATTCAACGGTGTGCCGTGACATAATGTATTACCACAGCTTCGCCTGTTAATCCATGATATTCACAAATACTATTTGTAAAAAAGAGTGATCATATTAAATGGACCCTAATTAAGGAAGATTAAGTTCTAAAATTTCACTATACTTTTTAAATAAATGCAAAAATAAATGCAATTATTCACTACATACTCATACAATAACTATAAAAAATTAAGCATTTAACGATTATTATATAGTTTTTTTAAAACCAATTATTATCATTCTCAGTCACTAAGATCCGTCAACAATATTTAATGCTTCGAAGCTATATTTTCTACAATCTTTGCTTGATGTCGGTTTAGATTATAGCTTAAAATTTCACTATAGGATTTCGTGTTATTAAAATTAAAAATTATAATGTAAATTTATTTTATTTTTTTTTTTTGATTTTAACCTCCCTCCGCTATCCTGAAGGTCCTAGACACCTTAGGATTTTCTCTCACTCTCTAAGGCCAGAGTTATCATTCGGCGGAGATCGACGGTCGGCATATGGCCTCTGATTCGTCACCGAACTAGTGAGATAACTCATGCTCCATTAAGTCCGTCTCTTGACGTCCCGGGTCCCTGGTTCCGCGGTGTAGGACCTACGTTATCTATAATGTAAATTTGAATTATTTTCGATTTTAAGTTTGTTTCAGAATTCGCCGAAGTA